TCCCTTTCTACATACTAGTTTAGAGATATTACATATTTTATCACATTTTCAAATTCTATTTCAGGAGTCTCTTCAGGTTTCTTCTACTTACTACTTAAGATATTGAAGGTATCTTTATATACATTTAAAGGAATATTTTCCTGTGCTGAAATAATCATTTGTAAATGTTGAGCTGAAGGTTTAGCTTTGCTAACCAGAAAGAATAAAGTGTATGACTGTGTCATGTGTCAATTCTTAACATCTAATATTAAGCAGCACCTTTTTCCATACAGAAAGGTAACTTACTGTCCCAAGTCAACCCTTCTAATTACTATTCAGGGTGAAACTGCTGTTCTTTTGAACAAAAGTAAAAGTAAAGGAGAAAAAGAAAGTATTTCTGCCTGTTAGAGATAAAAGGAACCATTCATTCCAATCAATAGTTTTAGAAAATTATTAATATTAATGTAGCATAATAGGCAAAGGATTGTTTCTTAAAGCCCTTAAGAACTTCCAAACTGATGTAAATTTAAAGAAGCATTGGTTTTCCTTATTTTGATATTAATCCAAATACTCATTTCTGCTTGATTTTAAGTAGGCATTTTATCTTTGAAATTTCTCTGTTTAATTCCACTTGTTCTATATTCCCACTTAGCAGGCACATGAGTGCTCTTCCCAAACTATTTTATGACTCCTAAGTATGAATCCAGCCAAAACAGCCAAGTTGTAACATATTAAACAACTGTTTCATGATATATTTTCTGTTGCAATCATTTTGGCAAGTAAATTCAGATATAGTTAAGTTCAGGCTCTCTTCTAAACCCTGCTAACTAGCTTCCGTAGAAATATTTTCAATATTGAAAATCTTAACACCTATTCAGTTGGCAAATATAGAAAAGGAGGAAAGATTAATTCTTATAAATATTTTTTTTCATTTATGAAACAGTCTCTACTTATTTATTAACATCTTTGTATCATTTATTTCATAAATTTTCTATTATTAGCTTATTTTATTGAAAAAAAGTATTTTGAGACCCCCACAATCCCAGTATCTTTTTTATTTTAAAGAGGAAAAAAAGTAGGAACTAAGACAAAACAAAGCACCATAAAACAATAAAAATAGTACAGAATTTCAAAACAAGAATAGGAAACTAACAATGGTCATTATATTACATATTACTCTCATCAAATTTGTTGCTCAGACTAACATGCATGTAAGCCCAACCCTATTTGCTTAATAGAACTTTGTATTTCTATTTTGGCACAATATTTTCCAAATCCCCTTCACATA